CTACACTCTAATTAGACCCCCATGGCTGGCCCGTGCCCGGGGGGCCCGGGTAAGGGGCTGGTTTATTGTGGTGTAGATGTCCAGGCTATACATTTTTCAGGGCAGGGCTTTCTTTTTTATTCATCTGTAAAGCGCCATCAAATCAATACTGAGGCTAGAAATCCAGACGCTCCCCAGCTGGTAGTTTTCAAACAGAGAGATAAGGAAAAAATCACTCAGCGGTATCAGCTCAGGTAAAGGCCTGTCTTTAAAGCTAAGGTGGGTTGCAATTAGGGGGTTAGGGGGCCACGACCCCATCACTTTTAAAAGTGGGAGGGCTTTTTACCAGCTGTAAGGGCGAGTGATGGGGGGAGGGGTGAACAGTAGTGAGCAGGGGGGCAAGGTCTTGGGAGGAAGAGGTGGCGCAGGAGCGGGACCTTGGGGTAAGAGGCAGCATGAGGGTGAGGGTTTGGGGGGTGGGCCACGGTTCGGGCTCCCGTGGCCTCTCCATTTTTAGGGAGTTTCCTCTGCTCCTGATATTGCAATACAAGGCGAGCAGGAGAAAACAAACATCTAAAACCACCTCCCTTTATAAGCCCTGTGGGACGTAGCCCAGGGCATTTCATGCGTGTCAATGGAAAGGAGATGGGTAGAGCTGACTGCAATGATTTTGCCTGGATGATTTTCAGTAAATGCCTTTTCTGAAAAACCAAACTTCTCCACAGGACAATTGTGATTTTCCACACGGAGAAGCGAAATGACGGCGCCGATCTCAGTCTCTGCCATGAATCTGACAAAAGCTCTGTGAGCTCCCAGATTCTCGGCTGCTGGAGCCGGGCAGAGAGGGAGGAGAGAGAAAGGCTGAGTTCTTGACTCAGCCTCTCTGGCCTCCGGGCTAACAACACTTTTCCCGCGGGAAGGGATGTCCGGCTAGCCCCAGAGCCTGGATGGGAGGTTAATTTATGTCCTAGATTGGTGCATTTTAAAGACTGTTTGAAAACCATAAAAACCAGGTTACATAGGCCTTGCTCAACATTTAGCATCCTCGCCTTTGGTTATGAAGTGCACAGCTCAATAGGGCAGAAAATCAGCGATGGGAAAAGACCTGTTAGGCCATCTAGCTCGTGCTGACAGTGTATTCTCCAAAGATTCAGCCCGCGCAGTTTGAAGTGCTCCAGTATGGAGCCGCCAGATCTTCTCTTCTACAGTTCACAAACCCCACTGTCGAGAGTTTTCCTACTACTCAGATGTTTTGCTGCCTCAATGCAGAAGTCGATCCAAGGCTCATTGAAGTCAACGGAAAGACTACGAGGCCCCAAAGCATGTACCGTGTCTGGAAGTGGGAGAGTCTCGCTTGCAGTACAAAGAGTGCCGGGGCTGGTGGAACATCCTACTCACTAGATATGCCACGACGGGCACTGCTAGGATGTTTTCGCCATTCAGAAGCAGAACATTTCAGAGCGAGGGGGGTTAGTTAGCAGGCATAGCAATCCACCCACTCCGGACACAGAGAGCACCGCTATAGACATGAGACACAAGCTGAAGTTTGTTTGACCATTGTAACACCTCACATAAACATGCCTCTGAAGCCACGTGTGGAAACAATGCTGTCATCAGAATTCCCCATCAGAAGGCCAGCTTTGGGTTGCAGCCTGTTCATGATAATGAACTTCCAGCGTAACCACTTTTAAACAGCCTGACCTCACGTCACCTACGGACCCAATCGGTGGTGCTGAACATCCTCAACTCCTACTGATGTCACCAGAGGCACCCAGTGACTCATGGGATCGGGGCGGTAGACTACTTTCTTTATGGCAGGATCCACATTGTCCTGTCTGAAGCACCATGCATATTTATGGGGCTGGAGAAATAACAATTTCACCACAAAAGGGGGGAGAGATGTGTACTGAAATCTCCCGCTGTAAAGGCCTCAGAAAGGCAAACAGGTTACCAATAAATCGCTCTCCCATTGGACAAGACCAGGTCCCATGCCCTCCCTCAACCAAAAGCAGAGATGCGGTAGTCCACTTTGGTCTAGAACCCCGCCAGAACCAATCTGGATACCGGTCAGATTTTTGTCACTGTACAGAGGCCAATATTGCATGTACACAAGAACAGGACAATGGAATGAACACAAATAACTGTGATGGGGAGACGCAGACAGGTTCAGTGTTCAGCCTGTACTGTTCAAAAACACAGAGAGATTTGCTGTGTGCTAATTTACTACAGGTCTTAACCCGACAAGATTTCACGGGCTAAATTCATTCATAGACACCGGAGGAGTTCCACCACAGATAAACATGGCCCAGTATTTAGAGCCAGAAACTCAGCAGGAGGATCACATATACTCTAAAATGCCTTCTCCTATAGCACGGACTGGCTCTTCCGTGAGCCACGGGTGTGAATTCTTTGGGATCGTAATTCTGCCAGCTGGTCCAAAGTCTCTGCAGGACGTTACAGCAAACAAACAGAAATGCGTGTTTACTGTGGAAACGCTGACTGGGCTGGGTGTGTAACGATGCTCCGAGCACCGCACCATATGCTAGGGGAGATTTTTTTTTTTGGCACGGGCATTTGTAGAACCACGTCTGCTTTAACCATTTGAGTGCCTATTCCCAACAAAGATCAACACGGCTTTCAGGAGATTCGCGGAGAGCCAGCACTGGAAGTGACCGGGCTTTCAGCACACCTGAGAACGCAGACTGTACAAGAGACAATCCTTAAGGTGTAAAGATTTTAAACCTATGACTATCTTGCTGGGTCCATTTCCACACTCTGCGTGTAAAACGTTACACAACGGACATTCCATTTCCAGCCCCTTTTGTTTTCTCCTCTGTGTCTGTCTGACACACTTACCAAGTGGGCCCTGCCACTTTCCCCGAATCATTCCTGCCCCCTGCCAGGAAAGTGACTCAGTGGCTGACTATGCCAATTAGTGCCAATGCGGCTGCTTTAATGCCAGCTTGAAAGGGAGGGAGAAATTGGCTGCCAGCCTCCCTCCCCCCACTCCACAGACATATACAATCCTGTTTCCTTCTCCAAAGCCTGAAAACCAGAGCCCTTCTATCCCATCCCCCCAGCCCATCCCCTGCATAAAAAGCTCTTGCAGATGCAACAGGCAGCCATTCTGTTCTGAACCCTCAGGAAACGACACACAGCTTTATTCCTGCGCAAGTGGACGCACACATTTTAAACATGCAGCGCATATGGCAAGCAGAGTACTTTACCTTCCAGTCTGGCGGTAACTGGGCACCAAATCCCAGAGCAGGAAACATTTTGTCTCTTTAAAAAACCCAAAACAAAACAGGAAGTGTTACTGACTTTGCACCCCCTCCCCAAACATACAACAACACTTCTTTACTCATGAAAGGTCTGACGAGTCTGGAAGGTTCTCAGCACCTGAAGCGGTCACTGAATACAGTGGGCGCTGCAGATCTGTGGCACCTTCCCACAGTCATTCCCAAATCGCGAGATTATCTTTTTAATATCTCATGAGTCTTAGGCCAATAGATGTGGGGGCTTTATTAGCCCTTGGGTTTTTCAGCCTTCTAGGGGGTCACGTTTTCAGGCTTTGCTCTGCAATCACAAGAGCCAGAAATTTCTGACCTCTAATACAAGGGCTTATGACTCAGGCTCTCTTCCTACTATACTCACCAGCAGCAGAGACAGCACAACTGGCAGCCATCTCAAACTCACATCCAAAAACACTTACCCTGACACTAGCACAGCAATGTGTCCTCTCTGCTCTCCCACTCTTCTCAGGGTGGCTCCCAAGCAAATAAGATTGCTGATGTGGTCTCCCAGCCACTTAAAGCTCCAACAGGCTCATCCAGGTATTCCGTGTGCAGGAAGTCCAAGCTGGGGAAGAAAGAGCAGAGTGCCCAGAGACTATTATACAGCACAGCCCTCCCCTCAAGTCACCAATGGCTCTTGACAGGGGGATGGGACACTAGGCACCATGTA